TTTTCGTTTTTCCTTTTTTTTTTTTTTTTTTTTTTTTTTTTTTTTTTTAACTAAAGAGCTCAAAATACTCGAAATCTACTACTACTACTACTACTGTACTAAGGTACAATTAGGCCTACATACCAATGCATATACAGTACAACATAAAAGAATAAGGCCTATAAAAAGAATTAGGCCAACAATAGCATAAAACAACCTTCTGGTAACAGCCTAAGTAACCAGTGCTGTTAATAACCCACCTTATAGCTAGTAACTTACTGCTTTTAATACACAAATTTGGTGGTTAGAAAGTGACATCTTTTACTGTGAGGGTGAGAACCTGAGCATTGGTGTGGCAAGCAGAGATTTATGGATTCAAACATCGCCAACTGATAACAGAGATACACTGAAGAAGTTGTACTAGACATACATGTATCCAACCGGCTTATGTTTCTATCCCAGTTAACTTCTAGGTGATCTACTTATGAAATCAAGCGTGACTTAACTGTCATGTGATGCTCTCTGAAGCGAGGGAGCTTCTACGTGACACTGAGGGCAAATGTCTGGCTTTAAAGGACAAAGTCAAAGTCACACATTTTGACTTTTTGACCATTAAGACACTAAGTTTGTAACCTGTTACCTTCTGAAATGCACTTTGTGTAGTTTTTACTTGCATAAAATTTTTAAACATTTGACACTTGCGAGCTGAAAATCAGCAGTATGGATTTGAAGGTCAAATCTAAACTAATCGGACATGAAATATGAATTCCTGGATATCTACTATACAGTACATTGGAACTAATTGGAATGTTATAGCTGTACTGTAACTAGCTAAAAGCATAATTTTCTATTACCTACAAATACTGACCTTTCGACAATTGCGATGGCCACAGCAGTATTTTTTTTTATTTAAAGGTCAAACCTAAATCAACAGGACATCAAATATGAATTATTGAATGTTAACAGCACAGTACACTGAAATTTTATAACAAATGGAACTACAAATAATTGACCTTTAACCACAAACATTGAGCTTCGACCTCAAAAGTGACCTCAGCCGCATTTTTAGATTTGAAAGTCAAACCTAAATAATTTGGACATCAAATATAAATTTCTGGATATTAACAGTACAATACACTGGAATTTTATAAGCGAACTAAAAGCTTCATTTTTTTTATGAACCACAACTGTTGACCATTGACCTCTGAGATGACCTCTGTGTAATTAATTGTAGTTTTACTGTACATCAGTCAATTCAGCTTTCATTAAATCCTTTTATAAGGCACTATGACGAATTTACAAAAGAAGCGTTTTTTGACAAAAAAAAATTGGCGGTCATTTTGGATTTGAAGGTCAAAACTTGATCGAATCATCAATCCGACATAAAACATCTCCTGGGAACCAAAAACCCTCAAGTCCATGCACCAAAGCAGCCATGTAGTCCAAAATACTGAAATAATAAATTTTAAAATGGCGGAGGGCGGCCATTTTGGATTTAGGGCTCTCACGGGTTATGCCCTCACACCCAAGCTATTTTTGTTATAATACCCTCAAAGAAGACAAATCCACAGAGAAACTAAGTTAGCCTCCACGGTCACGGAATTGCCAAAAATGACCCAACTCAATGTCCTGCGGTCGATTTGCTCGACCTGCCAAACGAGGCCTAGCATCATAGAGAACGCGTGCCATACACTTAATATTTTTTTTCAGGTTATCCAGTTTTGCAAACACGTAGGCCTAGCTTATTCTTCGGGGAGCTTTGCCTGTGTAGTCCAGTCATGCGCAGTACATATACTTTTGGACTTGGTTACTTTTTCGAATCGTCGATCCGAAAGTATGC